GAGCCGGCGGCCGCGATGACGGCGGGCTGCTGCAGTGCCCGCACCACCCTGTTGCTCCCTGCCGTCAGCCCTGCAAGGGTCCCACCAGCGTCACCCCTGTGCCACCACCTTGACCCCCACCTGCACCCCACTTTGCTCCCCGTCCCCTACCCAGGACACCACAGGTGGCATTGCTGGGGACCCCCAGCCCCGCACTGTTGAAAGCTGCCACCTGGACACAGAATTCGGCACCAGAGCTTGGGAGGAGGGTTTCCAGGCGGCGGGTGCCTCCGTCCACTGTCCTGTTGGTGTGGCGCTGCCAGCCCTCGCCCATTGACCAGACCTGGTATGTGCCAAGAGAGTGGGCCCCCTTAGATGAATCCCCCTGATGGACCCCCATTGATGGATCCCCCTTGGATGGACCCTTTTGCATGGACCCCCTTGGATGAACGCCCCTTGGATGGACCCCCTCAGATGAATCCCCTTGATGGACCCCCATTGATGGGTCCCTCTTGGACAGACCCCTTGGATGATCCCCTTAGATGAATCCCCTAGGTTGAACCCCCTTGGATGGAACCCCTTGGGTTAAATCCACTTGGATGACCCCTGTCCTTAGAATGACCCCTTGGATGGATCTCCTTGGACGGATTTCCCTCTTAGATGGATCTCCTGGGCTGGACCTCCACCTTGGTTGGCCCCCTTAGATGCCCTTGTTGACATCCCTCTTGGATAGACCTCTTATATGCGTCCCTTTTGGACGGACTGCTTGGGTGGTCCCCCCTTGGATAGACCCCCATCTTTGAGAGGCCCCCTCCTTGGATGGATCCCCCACAGACAGACCCCTTGGATGAACCCTCCTTGGCCAGAAGCTCCCCAGCCTCCCCGCGCCCCATCACCCCAAACCTTGTAGCCCCGAATGATGCCATTGTGGGCCTCGGGAGGAGGTGGCTCCCAGCTCACGATCACGGTGCCGTTCCCCATCTCAGCCTGGCCCACGGTGACGTGCTGGGGCGCCGCGCTTGGTACTGCCGGAACAGGGGTGCTGAGACCCCTGGGACCCCCAGCCGTCCCCCCCCTCCTTCACCTGGGCATCCC